CATAACACCAAATCTTTAAGGCACCTTAAGTGAAAGCAGATATAACCCCAATAAAAAATCAAATAGCCGACTTTAGATTCATCTAAAAATAGAAAGCTAATAAAAACTAAACTAGTTTCGGCCATATTATAACTTTTAAAAAGCACCAATTTTATTTTAATTTTTTTTTTTCCTTTTAACATTCCGCGTTCTCCCCAATGGCTAATTTAAGAGGAAATTTAATGAAAAATCGACCTCTATTTAAAACATTCCCCGCTACAAATATTTTTTAACTAGTCAATTTTGAAGACTGAATAAAACCCATCTCAATAAGAATTTCCTAAAGTGTTTTCATTTTCGATGGAATCATTTTGCTAATTTGGCACACTTTCAAGGAGTAATACTTTTTCATTAAACTTTGCCTACCTTTCGAAAAAAAATTTATTTAGTTAAAAACTTTATTTATTACTTAATTTTATTATTGTAATGGTTTCTACTTAACATATAAAATAAGCAAAGGTTTTGTTTAGTATATGAATGTATTTTTATAAAAAAAACAGTTAAAAAGCTTCTTAATATGTTCAATATTTAATTACGGAGCCAACTTGTGAACAATTTTTTTAATAAATTAATGTCATCTCAATTACTTGTAGTTAAAAAAAAATTTTCATTTGGAACAATTGGATGCATTCTTTATTTTTTTGATGTAGGAAAATTATTTTTCGCTAATCCATTATCAGGATTATATCCTAAGCACGGAAATGATACAGTAAAAAAAAGAAAAATGCTATGCAGCGGGTAAGCGTATCTAATCTATACTTAGCATATCTAAATTGGTAACAATTTAGATATGCTAAGTAAAGTAAAACGAGATGTTTTTAATTCAAAATGTGCCCTCTGGCGAAAATTAATTCACACAAAAAAAATTTTTTTAGTCAAAATTTTTTCCACAACCTTGATGCTTCATGAAAACATGAATTTTTCTTTTATTAAATTAGACAAAAATCTATGTATTTGCAAGTAAAAATCTATAAGATTCTTTAACAAATTTTTTCAATGTTGGCATATTCTCTGATAGACGCACATATTAATTGAAATATTTATATTTTTCTGCCTGAGTATCAAAATGCATATAAATTGGATACCTTATTAGCTTCGTAAGAAATGAGATGTGAAATTATTTCATTTTATTCTGAAATGAAAATTTTCATTCTTGAGCAAATATTTTGAAATATATGTTTTCGAGTGAGCAAGGTATTGAATTGAAAAGATGTTTTGGGAAAGTGGATTTGCACTAAAAAGGGAACACTTTGCAATGCTAAGGGAAAATTTTGTCCATTGTTGCCAGAGAGAATTCATTGATTTTCTTCATCGATGATGCAGGATGAATAGAGCGATTACAAACAGCTATAACAATTTTTTAATGAAAAATAATTTATCTATAAGATTAAAGTGGAATGTATAGTTCGTTCACCAGGAGTTGGCATTTGGCTCCACCTCCTCGAACGAAGAGTTCATTTCAACGCGGGAGTAAGAGGAGAAACATCTCCGTGCTTGAAATTGAGACAACCCTTAATGCGTGCCAAACGCTAACAGTGAATTATTTATCAGTCACTTACTTCTCTTTATCATCTGTTATTATACCTTTCGTTACTCTAACTAATTAAATATAGTGTATCAAAATAACTAAAAAAGGACAAACTCTATTCATTCATAAGAGAGAAAAATCATATTTATGAAATATTTAATGTTAAAAAAATGCACGTAAAGATTGCTAAATAAATATTATTGTCATACGATCGCCAAATAGCAACCTTTTTCAGGATTGTTCACTTCCTTCTCCTAAAAATAATGATTCACCACGTGATGAAGGCGGAGTCAAGTGCCAACTCCTGGTGAACGAACTATATTTCATCATTGTAATGTGAAAAGGCAACTCTTTCTATCCTGAGTAAAAAGCGGACGAAAGCAATTCCTGTAATAATTTAATGAATTACAGTCCCTGGCCAAACTATTAGACGCACTGTAAGATTCCATGTAAAATTTTAATTACCAGGTGATACTCTACAGCTTTATTGTTGTTATGTGACTGAAACCGGTTAGCACTTGTTCTTGGAAAAATTAGACGATATATAACGTAAATTAGACGATTGGATACATTAAACGATATATTATATAAATATAGAATATTTATTATATCAGGTATTATAATAGTATATTATAATAATTAGACCGAATTACTCGACTCACTATAGTGTTTTCATAATGACATGTTTCGCACGAGTTTATAGGCTATACTTTTATATTCAAACATACATGTAATGGGTTTTTATTCAGGAGATTTTTGAAGTGATACTTCTTATGCGACTTCCAACAAGGTGGCGTTAAACGTTTCACGCTACATTTTTATTGGCCGGAAAAACACGTGGTGGGATCCAGTTTTCCCTTAATCATTTCCATATTGNAATGGGTTTTTATTTAAGAGATTTTTGAAGTTATACTTCTTATGCGACTTCCAACAAGGTTGCGTTAAACGTTTAACGCTACGTTTTTATTGGCCAGGAAATCACGCGGTAGGATCCAGTTTTTCCTCATTCATTTCCATATTGTTTTGTTTCTCACTAGCATAAAAATAATAAAAGTCATAAAAGTATTGTTTTTCTACAAATAATTTCTTAGTTTCATTTGATACACATGTAATTTAATAAGATAGTATTTTTTTTTTTTTTAAATTTAGTGGATAACAATTGTAAAAAATGAGTGAAAACAATCTCACGGACAATGCGACGGATTTAAGGTTATGTCAAGGTACGTCTCTTGTGAATATCAATTGATTGTTAGGTTTTCTCTTTTGAAATTACATTATGACGCATTCACATACATTATTAATACAAATACATTTTCCATGGCCAGACGATGAGGCAACCACAAGCACTTCCACTGGTTCAAGAGTTCCATGAGGGAAAAATGCACAATATTACCGTAATTACGGAGCTCGGAAGCGAGCGGAGCAGGAAAAAGAGTCGTTGAATAGAACTAGTGATCCTTCTACGACTGCTGATTCTTCTACAATTAACGTCGCAGGTTACGAAGTTTTAACTTCTTCCGCGCGGAGGGACTCCACGCACTATTTTTTTTATAAACTTCCTATTTGTATTTATTTTTAATGTATTTGCAATACAATGTTTACCAATTGATACACGAACATAAAAAAAAATGCAAACTGGTTTCAGTCACATAAAAACAATAAAGCTGTATAGGTATCACCTGATAGTTAATATTTTACATAGAATCTTACAGTGCGTCTAATACAGGGACTGTATATATGTTTTGGGTAAGTTTGGTTAACAGTTAACTTTACAAAGAGAAAATATGACTAGTTGTCTATTGGACAAAGAGAAATTTTCCCTGAACGCTGTAGATTGTTCTCTTTTAGTGCGAGACCAATTGTAGAATAGCGAGTACAACAATTTGAAAATGTTTTCTGTAACAGGATGGGGTGTGTCAAGTGTATTTAAGTTTCCTTTCTATGGGTTATAAATGGTATAAATGGAACATCACACGTGATTAATTATTCTAAATTATGCAGACAGTATTTTATAAAAGCTTCAAAGTCATTCTGGCGACAATTCTCGTCTCCTGGCGAGGAAATCAGCCCGATAATGTTACACAAATACGGGAGAAACATATTTTGGTTGCCATTGAATAACAAGTGAATTCAAAGAGAGTTCTGTTACAAAATTGAGATATTATAGAGCAACTCTCTTTTTCTCTATAATGCACCATACCAATGGAAATATGCAATTTACCCATATTATTTATCTTGGCTATGAGGTTAGAAGTTCTCAAATCGATGTTTAAGAGAGTGGCATAGAAAGAACGGGTAAATCCAGTTGACATTTTTGAATTTTAATATGGCATATAACATTTTATACAACTTAAAAGGGTAATACTACTTACGAATATCGTTCAAAAATGGCGAATATCGTGCAAAATCAAGCAGTTTAACGAGGACCGATACCGCATTCCCTCGATCCCTTCACAAGCTGATCAAAGTAGTCACCCATCTGTTCACTATTCAAGCTGCCAGCGATGCTTGAATTCACTGTTCCACTATAGTTTGTCTGCGGTAAGAACTCCCCCTACCACAAAGTCTGTGGCTGCTATGGAAACAAGAATAACGCATTTCAAGGAGGGTAGCTTCTCTTCACTCTAGGGCTAACACAACAAAAAAGAGATTCCCTTTCCCTCGCTGACTCTTAACCAAAACCAGCCCTAAACAATAACCTCTTACCCTTACCTGAAATAGTTATGCCTGTTTAACATAGTCACCGCCCCACGAGTCCAGACGAATAGCTAGGGGTGTTCTTACTTTAGATGAACTATAAGAATCGTTTTACTATGGGACTTCATACAAGGTAGATTAACTTAAATATGAGTGCAGACTTACTGCTCGAGGTTAGTTTACGGAGTGTCTGAACTTTATTTAGTTTTAAATCTATCCCAGCTACATCGTCGCCACGTTTCTCAAATAGTCATTTAAAATAACAAGCGTTTCAGTGCTAAATTTAGATATTTATAACCATAATTCATTTCTTTAAATGTTTTCATAAACATTCATTGTCGGAAGTATTATTACCCATTTATGTTGTTAATGTACACATTCGCACAAACACGTCCTATATACACATAAGAGCATTATCTTGGATTGCGGGAAAGCTAAGGTGACCAGGTATCCTCAAATATTAAGGACAAACCTTCGAATTTTGACAGTTATCTTCAAAAGCTTTCACATTTTTTGAGTACAGAAAATGTCATGGGCATTTCATCCGGAAACATTTCATTATTTATTTACATGCAGTGAAATATTAAAAAACAAAATCACAAATGCTTATGTTCTTTTTTTTTTTTTAAACATATTAATTTTATCTTACGGAGAAAATGCGCGAAATGCCAAAAGAGTACAAATTTAAAACTCAAATATGAAAATTCCATATTTGTCCGAAAATAATTTCAAAAAAAAAAAAACTAATAATCATGTCCTTCTTAATTTTGCAAATGCAGAATATCACATGATATATCAAAACTGCTAGGTAATGAAATCGAGTTTGACGAATGCTCAGCATCTGACACTAGTTATTATTTTTTTTTTTAAAAAAGAGAGAAAATTTTGCTGCATATATAAAGTAACATTTTCCATAAATATAAGGGTGTCCTTGAATTATAAAATTTGTTGAGGACGCTCCGCGGATTTGTCCCCAAATCACGTTTTAAAAATCTGGTCACCTTAAGGGAAAGCGGATTCTCACAGGGAATTGAGATGTCTACACCAGAGGCTGAACTAAATCACTTCAATAGTATAAATCAATCCATTGCCGTAACGTTGGCAACCAGTTTTTTCTTCTATTCCTATTGGACGATTCTTATTCCCAATCCAATAGAAACGTATTTCTATTGGTTGCTTCTTGTAGCCGATCGACCAGTGATACATTTTCAGCAGACAGGTTAGTTAAGTGACGTAGACATCTCTATGAAGCACGGCACATGGAACATCTACATTTATAAATGGTGTAGACGCCATTCCATAGACATTGCAGTTCTGTCCGACTAGCGCAAAAAAGATTGCAGGCACTGTACAAATATCCCCTTCAGAAGACAGAGAGTTCTCTTCATCGTTTTCAGTTTATAAGATTGGTTTTCTTTCCTATTTCTTGGCATTCTAAATATCCAATGTGATCTGATGTCAGGAGGATTCATCCTCATCATCATCTTCTTCAGCTTCAACTTGTTTAGGCCTGGAAAGAAAAATATTGAATGTCTTTAGAATATATTTCATTTTATTTCATGAACAGCAGACCCAATTTTTGATGAATCCACCACCGGTGAACAGCAAACTCAATTATTTGGGTTTACGACTACTAATGCTCAACTCCGTAGTTTTGTAATTTCGAAGACAAGGGAACTCCTGGATCAAGTATTGGGAGAAATTTCCCTTTTGTGCAGGGCTTTTTGATGGAACTAACCCGCATTTGCCTTACATCGAGAAGAAAACCACGAAAACCTACTACGCTCAGTTTGATGGTAAGGGGACTCTAACCCATGATCCGTCTACCACTGAGAACATTTTAAGCCAGCATTGTGGTGAGGTGCGAACTGGGTGCGGAATTCGAATCGAAGAGTTATCGCTGAGATCGAACCCGGGTCACCTCATTGGAAGGCGAACGCTCTATTCTCTGAGCTACCACGGCTCATGGTGTGTGTTATACAAACAGCAGTTTTATCATTATAAAACAAATAGAAAAGTAAGAATTATTTTACTGAAATCAAATAAGCAGCAAATAAAACGGTAAACCCATGATCCTTCTACCACTGAGGATATTTTACACCAGCACGTCGTCAGCCAGCATATTTTACCTGTGGTCGGTGTAAGCCGGAAGCGGAATTAAAACTGATTGGTAATGAAATCAAGCTTGACGAAGACTCTGCATCTCGGGATGAGGAATTCGTAATAACCATCTGTCGCTGGGATTTGAACTTGACGATAGCTGGTTGACACGAATTCCGCATCCGGCTTGCATCGACCACAGTGCTGACGTGGAATATCCTCAGTGGTAGACGGATCATCGGTTAGAGTCCCCTTGCCGTTATTCTCGTGGTCTTTATCTCCACGTAACGCAACTGCTGGTTATTTCCATCAAAAAGCCCTCCACGAAGGCAAATTTCTCCCAATGCTTGATCCAGGAGTTCCTTTGTCTTTTGGATTGGGTTCAAAAGGACAATGCTATGAATTTGAAAGTTGTAATCGTAAACGCAAGAAATTGGTCCTGCTTTTTGACGACGCTGTTATTAAATAAAGTGAAAAAAATAATAATGTCTGCAAAAAAATGATATAAGTTCGAAATTTACGTAATTTTTAAAAATGAGGATATTATGAAGTTCATTAAACTAAATAGAATAAGATAGGAAGGGCAGCTATTAAAAATGAATTCAGAGCGAATTACATTGAGGGATTTTAAAACGACTCCCCTTCAATACCAACAAAAGACCAAGAGGATGACACTGCTTGGACTTTGGCATTCTGAAAGTGAAGAACTAGACATTAATTTATGGGAAAAGAGCAGATTGAGAAATGCTTCGAAGGAAGGCCCCGAAAGGCTGCTATTCCAATGCTTATGATGATTTAAAAACATTTAATATTAAAAAAAATTGTATGGTATTATCTTTGGATAAACGAGATCAAATTTTACTCTGAAAAACTTTTTCCTTCGCCTTAGAAGTATCAAAGGTGAGGCGAATTACACAAAAGGTGAAATTAATTCTGAATTACTGATACCCAATTATCCAAATTGCGGTTGTCTCCAAAATTAGACAATTTTCAATAAAGAAATAGTAAAAAATTTAGACATTACGAAATTTAAAATAAGTAAAATGTTTAGAAAAAAAATGTTGTAAAGTAGAAATAGTAAAAAATTTAGACATTACAAAATTTAAAATAAGCAAAATTTTAAGAAAAAAAAATTTACGGAAAAATTAAGTCTTACATTTTAAAGTGTATCACATTTTTTTATTTACCAAGAAGCATGTACACTTCAGTGGCGTTGGAAGGCCTCGAGTACCAGCTCTGAGGAGGTGTGCAAAAAGTTTAAGTTTTGTTATAATTAACTTAATTTTCTTCCCTTTCATTTTCAAATTACTCCAAATTTTGATTTAAGCCATATTAAATTTAACTATAATTTATCTACGAGTTTCAAATCTAGGGAGGGGTCGACCGATAGTTAATGTTTTGTTCTGCTTAATTAATATTTATTACTTCAATAAAAATGTGAAATAGTTTCTATAAATTTTAACCAGGACCCACGGGTTGGAATATTGTAAAGAAAAAAATCATTTATCAGAAAAAAATATTTTTATTTAGATAAAGTACATGTTTGTGTTTGACATTACCACTTAAAGTATCGTCTGCGCTAATTAACTTGGGCATTAACATATTTAAGGTCAGCTTTTGGAACCATTGAGACTGAATACGTGAAAATCCGATCAGTAGATTAAAAGTTGTTCAGGGTGTTTATCTTTTTTCCTTTTTTTTGCGCACTGAAGATAATGAGTAAAAGATCTAATTAATGAGTAAAATGTAGATACTAGATATTGAATTTTAAAAAAATACCAATTCTCATTCATACTCAATTTTTTAGAAAATAATAATCACTATCTGCTTTATTATAAACCTAATTGAATTTTCAAAAATAGATGCTTTCTTAATAAATTTTGATGGGATGACAGCTCTCATTGAATTAAATTCGAACAAATGATCCTCCCAGTAGAAATAAATGGCCCGGATAGTTTGGTTGGCAAGGCGCTTGACTCACGTTCGTGAGTACGGGAGTTCGAATGCAGCAGGGCGAGCACTCCCCGTGTATTAAAATGGTGACTGGTGCACGTTAAATCCGTCGGGTCATAAAGCCCTTCAAGTTCCCATACCTCTGGGGGTACTTAATTGGAGATGGATCGCTCGCTGGTTCAGGTCAAAATTACGATCTGTGGATGAATGGATTTTATTTTTATTTTATCCGTCGTTGAACAGCCGACCCAATTTTGGGGTTTACGACTTCTAATGGTCAGCTCAGTAGCCTTGTCATTTTGAACCAATCCAGAAGACAAGGAAACTCCTGGATCAGTACCCCCAGAGGTATTGGTTCGTTATGGGAACATGGAGGACTTTGCGACTCGACAGATTTAAAGTGCATCAGTCGCCATTTTAATACACGGGGAGTCTTCGACGGAGAGGATCGAACCCACTAACTCCTTGACATGGGCCCAGTGCCCTACCAACCAGGCTATCCTGGAATTTTATGAATGAATGGATGTATGAATGAGTCTGCCTTATAAACGGGTGCGGCAGATATCGATTTCTTGGCCATAGATGGCGCCACAAGAAAACAAAAACAAGCGCATTGCCTTAATGACCCACGACAACAACAAGAAGAGTAGAAATGAAGATGAAACTTACTTAGTTGAAACCTTATCTTTGATGAGAGTTTTCATTTCCTCCACAACCGAATCATATCGAATATCTTCAGGTCCTCCACTGATGACGGCCTTGTTGAGGGGTGGGGTGGCCGGTGTCTCCACTGTGCTGCCATAGTTCTGGAGAGTGGAGTAAGAAGTCGGCAATGCAGCGGGAGAAGGTTCGGGAACTGGCTGGGGTTCTGGTTTTGGAAGGGTTGTAGTCGTCGCTCTGGAAGATCTCGGTTGCCTCGGCAAAGAAGAGGTTCTGGCAGGTACAGAGCGTGCCATTGTAGCGGATTGCCTTCGGAGAGTCGCGTCTAACCTCTGCAGAGTGGCCGCAGCATACAAGAAATCTCGATCCTCTATGAGCTCTGCAAATGACACAGTTTAATTAAACCCTGTTTCATTAGTTACAGGGTATCTGCTACATTTTAGATTTTCGAATTCATGACTTTCCAAGAACTTTTCATGACTTAACGAAGTTACTATTTTTTCCGACAAAAACACAACGATAAATTAAAAAAAAACATTATAATAAAATTAATTGAAATGATGAAGGGTGAGTCGAAAGTATTGTTTAAACTTTTTGTTTTCCTTATTCTTTTAAAAGTTTTTTTTAAAAAAAACGTACATTTTATGCTGTCAATGTATGGCAAAGAAAAACTTGGTGATTCAACTGTTATTAAATGTAATATTCAATTCAAAAGAACATTCTCAGAACGTGGTAAAAAAAAAACGCGCATATGCGAATTTTTCGGATGCGCGATGTTTCGGATCGATGCGAATCAAAACCGAATTGGCCTTTTTTTCGCGGGTTATTCTACACGTATATTCTACAGGTATTCTGTATTGTCGTGTTATTCGACATATTCACATTCGTAGTTCCGAATTAACATAATTCGAATTTTTTCTATGTAACCTTTTTTTTTCTACGTCAACCATTCGTATATACAATTGTACAAAACACGTCTGCAGTCCCACAAATATCAAAACTCCCAAACAAATATTGGCAAACTTCGAATCAAAGCAGATTATTATAATTTTTTGTTTTGCTTTCGGCCGAATAAATACGTGATAAAAATAAAGGTATTGACGAATCCTGCTATGGCCGAGTTTACTCGGGATAATAAATATTTGCAATCTATACATACCCGAATTAACTCGGGATAATCAGGGAAGCGGTTAAGTGCCAAAGACTAAACCCTGAAGCCACGTAACAGTGCCTTGTGTTTCCCAGCTAACGATAAAGGTATGTATACAACTTCAAGGTACAGACTCATATCACAAACAGGTAATTGAAGGCTCACCTGTGACTGTAGGTCTTGGATTTAGTTTATTGTGGCAGTAGCAGGCTATGAGAGGCATGATGAGAATGGCAATTCCCGAAAGGACAATTGGAAATATGAAATAGGCTTTCTGATAAACTGGCTCAGAAGAAGGCTCTTCTAAGGATGGATCTGGAAAAGACATCAAAGGGATTTCGAAACAATTTTCTTTTTTTTAAAAAGTGTTATTATTCAATCTTCGTCAAATTATTAGACGCACTGAAATATTCTGTGTAAAATCTTAATTAATAAGTGATGCTATACAGCATTAACCGGTTTGCATTTGCTTACGCTCCTGTATCAATGGGTTATAATGCAATACGTTAAAAATAAATACAAATAGGAAGTATACAAAAAATCTCCCGAATAAAAACCTATTACATGTATGTTTAAATATGAAAGTATTGCCTATAAACTCGTGCAAAACATGCAATTATTTAAACACTACAGTGCGTCTAATAATTTTGTTTAGTTATTATAATACATTAATGTAATACCTGATATGACAATTATTCTATATTTATATAATATATAGTCTAATCTATTATTAAAGTAATGTGGCAGAGTCACGCATCATAGAAATAGAACGTTACCTGTTTGATCTGTTATGATTTTGATGGTTCCCGATGAGGCACTCTCTCCGAAACGATTGAGAGCGTTGACGAAGATTTCGTACTGTCTTCCTGGACTGAGACCCCCCACTGAATAGTTCTGATTAGGTAGCACCGATACATGGATCTTGTGGCGATCCCCATTCTGCTCCCTCACGTGGATGGCATACGCTGAAATAATGACACACTGTTATAGCAATTATTGCATTTCATAACCCAATTCCAATTTATCAATGATCAATCTCTAGAAAACAAATGAAATCCTGGATCAAAAATCGGAGCAAACATATTATTATTTTTTCCCTTTTTTCGGAACTTTTTTTCTGGATTTTTATTTCTTTAATTATTATTTTTTTTCTTCTCGTCCTTCTTGTCTGTATGCTACAGATATATATATATATATTAANACACACACACACACACACACACACACACACACACACACACACACACACACACACACACACACACACACACACACACACACACACACACACACACACACACACACACACACACACACACACACACACACACACACACACACACACACACACACACACACACACACACACACACACACACACACACACACACACACACACACACACACACATATATATATTAGGACATAACACCGATATTCGTCCTCGAACATACATTAAAACTGCGCCACTGCTTTAAATGTATGAATTAATAGTCTTAACCTTGAAGGTAACAACTCAGCGATTCAATCAGAAGATTGAAATATATACTTCTGTACATTTCTTTTTTTTTTTCTTCTAATTGTCGTATTTAGATGCATAACAAGTTGCAATCTTAATGATATTTGAGGAGATGATAACATACCTTTTAAATCTCTCTCAAAGGTAAGAGCCACTATAATCCCGAATTTCGTATTAAACTTAATTTTAAACAATATAAAGGTGTTTTCCTGACTCTCTATTTAAAGACAATAGTATATTTTGGTGTTTTTAAATTATAAAAATAATCTAATAAGTAAAAAAAAAAATCTGTTAGATTATCGCAATAACGTTTGCACTAAATTATTAAATGCCAAAAAAAGTAGTTTGACAAAAATATTCATTCTTCATCAGAAATTTGTTAATAATTGATTTTGTAAACTAATAAAATGTCAACGAGGGAATAACTGTTTCCTTTAAATCCAAATAATTGCAAATAAGTGCAAATTATAAAAATTATTTTTTTCGAAATGAGTCGTGTGTCGACGATTTTGTCTTTAACACAGAAAAAGACACTTTTCTATCTGTATTTCAATACCGTAAATTATGAAAATGCTCCATATAATATTTTTCACTTACTTTGATCTACACTATGTGGCCAAAAGTTACAGAACACACTGTTGTCATGGTTGTGGAAGTATAATGATGTGGGGGGAGTGTTGGCATGGGTCTGTTAGCTCGTGTGGTAAGAAACGCGAACTCTGAGATGTCCATGTCTGTGGACATTCAGGACTCCCAACTCTTATGGCAATATTTCGGCCCATTTCTCTTTCATTCACACATGGAGGCTTGCACAGATGTGGTTCGACGAAATGGGGGTTCAGAAACTGTCATCTCTAAGCCTCGATCCCATGGAACATTTATGGGAAGAATGCAGCCCGCCAAACGAATGGAACGAAGTCAGCCAAAACAATTGGGACGAATGCAGAATGTAACCAACCGAATCCTCACTGCAAGCACAGCTGTGATGGAAGTCCTATCAAAATCTTCCCAGAAGGCTGTCATCGATGCAAAAGTGGGACAAACATCCTATTAATCAGGACACTCCATACCACTAGATGTCCGGACACTTTTGACCAGATAGTGTATATTAATACAAAATTATGAAAGAATTATTACAAAAATATGTTTAATAATAATTCTGCTTTAAAGAGTTAATAATACAGCTTTAATGATATTAGTCTTTCAATTAGTAACCGTATCTACATACTGAAAGAATGTGATTACCTGTAGGTAAACTTCTGCTGTTCTCTCTTGGCCATATCTTAAGGTTGCAGGTCACTCCTCCAGTTTGAATCACTTTCACATGTGGAGTTCTCGGAGGTCCTGAAACAACAAATACATCTTTAACCACTCTTAGTTCCTCCATTTCTTTACTCTTGCTTACCCCTTATCCGTTTCAGTAAAATGAACCACACTATAATAATCCATAAGGATCGAATAGGCATGATTGGCCTCTATGATATAGCTTAAAGTGCCCAAGGGTAACATTTTATACCATTTGAAAAGTATATTTTGATGGAGTTTCACATATTTGTAAAATTTTACATTTGTCATTGTAACTAGAATCTGCGTAAGGGAACAATTTGAAAACGTGGAAAATATATTTCGCTTCGCCAAGGGAATTCTGAAAATCATTGAGCAAATTCCAATAGATCGATGGAATGGACTATCAGGCGTACGGAAAAAAAGCATTCAATGAAATCGGGTTTGACTTACCACCATCTGTGGTGTGGACCACAACTTGTTCGGACGGAGGTCCAACTCCGATTCGATTGTAAGCCCTTACAACAATCATGTAGCTGGAAGCTCTCTGCAATCCCTGAAGAATGAACTCCTCGTGATGTTCTTTGCAGGATCCTGCATTCATCGATCTGTACGTGTAGGCAGTCTTTGTGTTCAATCTCTTGTAACCGATGTAATACCCTGTTAAAGTGGTGGCCGTCTGGTGGGGGCACTACAATAAAAATAATCGATTTTTACTTCTAAAACTGAAGCTAACTCTGTTTTCAGTTAATTTTAATGTTTAACGTGTTGATTTACATAAATTTCTAAATTAGACAAAGCAAAACAAACAAATAACCAAAGAAGAAAAATTGCAGTGAGCAATTTGAATGTATGTTACCTTTAATTATATTTTCTTGCTATTAGTCTCTACAATGCTTTGAATAGCTAGTTGAACTTACTGCTTTCTATGATGCAATTTTAGATTTCTAATCACGGCCAAATCTAATGGCTGAAGCGCACTTGTGCAATTTGCAGGAAAAAAGAGAGCTTTTACATTTTCCAAAATAATTAGTATCGATGGGT